CCCCGCCAGCGGTGACGTGCCGAGCAGAGCTCAAGTGAGCCGAGTCCAGCACACTGGTCGCTATGCAAAGCGAGTAAAGAGCGGTTGCTAAGCAAAGCGAGTAAACAGTGGTTGCTAGAGACGATGGTAATAACAGAGGAGTTACTAGTTACAAGTTAGCCAGGGAAGAGTATCCAGTCAAGTAATTGTAATACTGCAGATAGCTGTAGTTGTCAGATTGTAAACTGTGTGATTGTATGAGCGAGTGTGGAATAAAATTCGCTATATCCAGTAAGGCATAAAGTTACTTGTCGCGTGACATATACCCAACACGTGACAATATATTCTTAAGATATGTCGTTGATGTTCCTTAATATTTTTTTGATCTTTTTGAATTTCGTCTGTTTCTGTGTCATATTAGGTGTGTTGTTTTCCATTGTGCATATCAGTCATTGCCTTGCGTTCCTTGTGTTTATTATAGATGGAAAAAGAAAGATGACTATAAAAGAAACTTCTACCAGACTACATATCATCACATCTCAGAAGATACTACTCAGCTTAATTCCTTGTGTATAATAATGTAAATCTGATAAACTTCCATAGGTTGTGAATTTATAATGATTATCTTTTTCAGGAATTTCAAATGGCTTGTATAGGTTGTATAATGTTAATTGTGTTCTCTGCCTGTAAGCAATCTTGTAACACTACTGCACTCACTCCAGAGGATCATAGCTTCTTTGGTCTGTTTCAGACTTGCAGGTGGCTGGTGTTGACTGTGTCACATTGGGACAATACATGCAGCCAACAAAACGACATCTGAAGGTGGTAGAGTATATTACACCATCAAAATTTCATCATTGGGAAGAAGTAGGAAACTCAATGGGTTTCTTGTATACTGCAAGTGGCCCTCTAGTGCGCAGCTCTTATAAAGCTGGCGAGTTCTTCATTGCTAGTATCTTGCAGAAGAGGAAGGTCACTGCCAAATAGTTTATCTGTATGGTTTGCTATTTAATAAGATTCAGGAGACACTCGTACAACAATATCTCATTACATTTCAAACTGACATGTTACTTGAGATCTGACGTTCTGCTGGCAGTGAAGTTTGCTGTCTTCTGGGATCTGACTTCGTCTAGTGTGGTAGAACGTTGCCAACTCATCTACCCTGAAAAGGCAGGCAGCAAATTACTGTGGAATGTTAACATTCTGGGATACAACACTGTCACATACCATAAGAAGGCAATGTTCATGCTTCTGTCTTGGGTCAAAGTGTAAATTTCATTATTATGTGTATATATAAATATATATAGTATAAATAAAATATATGGGATCTTGTGTGTTGAATTATTTTACCTGTTATTTCTATTCAAAACATAGGTGTGCTTTACACACATCCATATGGAGAGGCAGGTCAGAATTATAAATTGTTTATAGAATTCAGTAATCTGTGTTCATGTCCACTAATGCATAGTGACTTGACATGTAGTTTGTGTTATCTCTTTTTCAAAGTGGCTCTGCATCCCCATCATCTGAGAATCTAAGCAGATCCAGATTCCGAAACGTATTTTCTCGTTTTTAAAATACAGGACTGAGCAAAGTCTAAAAATCGAGTTAATTTCGAGTTCTCATAGATCAGGGCCCTTTAGAAACTGTATTTTCACTTTGCCTGCAGATTTCAGCTTCCTCAAACAGCTACAGGTGTTTTGGGATGTATAGGGCTGTCAGCCATGTAAATATTTAAGAACGCACTATAGTAATTTTATAATTCGTTTTGAATACCATGGGGATTTAATGTGACCCTGCTTCTAATCTTTTGCATTAATGATCGGCTGTGTAATTGTAATTTATTCATTGCAAAGCAGATGGCAGAGTAGTAATCGACAGTGGATGGAGGGGATTTTGAATTATAGGTCCTTTGTAAGTGTTTGTATCAAATTAGATTTAATAGTGAAGAAAACTGTGTATTTCAGAAAGAAAATACGGTGCTAGTATGTTCGATTGTAAGTATGGTTTATATATTGTAGGTTATGGTGGCCTTTCGTATAGAGGAACGGTAGATTTTTTATGCATTTGGTAAACGTTTTGATCAGATTTATTATAATTTTCATCAGTTCTGTCCAGTTGTGAAAAACAATTCCATTTCCAGCGACATAATAGTTCCTGTAAGCCACGCAGATTGAGTAAGTGTGTCTAGCGATAGCGCTGTAAATTTCTGTTTTGAGGAGCTCGGTTCGATTGTAGTTTTCGTCAGTCACTCCGGGCAAAAGCCGAATAGTAACTTAATTAACCCACGACGACTACCTTCCGTATCTTCCATATTACTCGCAATTCACGAATCATCTGACGCTGTATAATATCGGTATGGATAGCGTATTGAATTGAATTGAATTGAATTTATTTACATTCTGTAAATCGTAAGTAGGTTAGTACCTTTGGATACAGAACAAGTCAAAAGGTTACATACATAAGTACAGGAAATTTAGCTTAAAAGTTAATATAACTTAATTTTACATCATTCTCTATTTACATTGAAGTATTCATCTAAAGAGTAGAAGGAATGAGCATGTAGATAATTCATTAAATTGGAATAACCAATTAAAGTCACACATTAAAAATGTGGCTCATAATACTACAGAAACAAATCATGGCCCAAAAACAACTAATATAACTTTACTATGCAGTGAGCAGTTGGACATGCTGATTTTTCCTGCCAGTGACAGTTTAAACGAGTTTATATAGGTTAGAACAGTTACGTTAAGGTTAGCTACCACAAATAAACATCTGGTAATAAGTGGTGAACATGCAGGTAACGTTTTTCAGAACTTTCAAAACGAATTGTGGTCGCAACAATTGTGATATGTATTCTTAGAACCTGAACAACAAATCTGCCACCCTAGAGCAGTGGGTTGATTGCTGTCTGTCTGGGTTTTTTGAAGGAACTTTACATTTTCTGTGTAAGGTACTCTAACAGCAGCATATGCTTGGACAGACTGAGGAAAAGCCCAGAGAATCTCAGTAAGAATTGCCAGTCTCTAGGCTGAGAATCAGTCGTTTGACCCTGAAATAATAATACTACCTTTCAACCACATTATCTGACTACTGACTGAGAAATTGATATGATCTGAGTAATGAGTTATAAGAAATTGGAAGGAAGCAATTACGGCTGTTTCAGAATATTGCCCAAGGTGTGCCTTAGAGGAATGAGGAATACATACAAATTGTCAGTTTGTGTAGGTGGTACTGCAGTCATGACTCAAGTTTGTTACCCTTTGAATACAAAGCAGCAGTTGTAGCCAATAAACCACAATTGTCTGTATTTGTTTAGGTTATATCTAAATACTGCAACCAGTTTAAAGTATTGTGCCCTAAATGTGAGGCAGGGAATGAAGCTTGGAACCTGTAGTATACAGGTGCAGTGAATTTGTATATATAACTATGTTTACGTCATATATGAAAGAGAACAATTGTATTGCAGGAGACAATGAACATTTCAGCTGTTAATATTGTGAAGCTTCTGTAGCCAGCATGCCAACACTAGAAGTTAATTTTTGAGACAATCCATTATTTTCCAATTAAGTTCATATATTTATGTTTTTTTTATAATTTTTTTGTTGCTAGTGGGGTGGGACTAAGTCCCTTGTACTGCAGCCACTTCTGGCCTATTGTACCAACCCAAGATGATAGGTGAGGGTGATTGTGGAGCAGTTGGTGGAATGAAGATTGGCAGGGAAACTGAAGTACTTGGAGAAAACCTACCCCAGCGCCCCTTTATCCACCACAAATCCCACTTGACCAGACCCGGGATCGAACCCGGGCCGCCGCAGTAGGAAGCCAGTGACTAACTGCTTGAGCTATGGCGTGGCCCATATACTTATATAACACATAATATAAATTGAAATATAATTGCTGCTGTTATGTGCCACTCCTGCTTTCCCTATATTTATACCATACTTTTCTACCCTGAAGATTGAGGGAATAGGCCTCCCTGAAACACTGGTAGCTCTGCTAACTCTCTATCACAGAAAATATTAATCTTCCTAATCAGCGCCATGAAAACCTCAATTCCCATAAATGGTGTTCACAGTTGTTACCTTTAATTGTTAATTTCAGCATTATTATAATGAGTCCTGTGCCAGCTTGTACTATTGGGACTCAGTTTGGAGGGCTGACATTTTTTGCTCGGAGTCATCCGGGTGAACTCTGTGGTAGTAATGGTTTGCCTTTGACACCCAACTCCATCACCATATATGGTAGGGCACAAATTCTGAAGGCCATCAGTCATCCATATTTGTGCTCTTACTTGGACATTATTAGAGGAAAACATGGTATGTTTATACACAAAAGACTAATACATGTTACAGAGATATGGGCACATAAACGAGGGCATACCCCCAAAATTTAACTTTTGGATGGAAGCACCGCAGTTTTATCAGACATTTTAGAGACATCTGAAAACAACAAATGTTGGTCAAAATATGTAGTGTGCATACACCAATGATGTATAAGAGATTTTAAAGTGTAAAACTAATGAAGGTTTTGAAAGCAAGTTGCATGTGAGATGGCTAAGAACTAAGAAGGAATAAATTATTTAAATGTGCTTGTTTTCTAATAACTTTGTTATATTTCCCATGCCATGTCATAGGTATAACTCTTTTCTGTGCCTAATGCTGTATGGCTACTCCTCATTATATGTGAGTTTGAAAATGTGGATACATTTAAATGTTCTTAACTAATTTAGACAGATTTAAAACAATAGCACTCACTTTACAGCAAATTGCTTGCTGTTCAATCAAGAGAAGTTGAGAGAAGGGGGAGTAGATTATTGTGTGGGTTGCAGAGGAGGAATGCTAAGGAAGAAGGGAAAGTTTATTCAGTTTATGCAGTTTCACCCTCTGTCACTTTTTTGGAACACAGTTGTTGCATAAATCAATGAGTACCTCTATAATGTTATAGGTTAAGTTGTCCTTGTGCTTAAATAATTAAGCACTTTGTCATGAAGGTACCGAGGGGAGTGGATGTATAGATCCACATTTTTCTTGACCTCGGCACTAGTTGGAGGGGAGTGGTTAGCTTCATGCCCTGGTGGCTTTACTCTTGGGGAAAGACCCACAGTACCCATTGGTTAGGAGGTTGGGTAGACCCCAGAGCTGGTCTGGACAACGTGGAGAACAGAAAATTCTTGACTCTACCAGGACTTGAACTCCGACCCCTCGGCCATCGAGCCCATAGCCAGTGACTATAGTGACTATGCCATTGGTTCTCAACCTTTGTCAGACCACGGTCTGGTATATTCTGTTTCTTTAAGACAAGGGCCCAGTATAATTGATGCCAAGGCCCGGAACTGAGCCACAGCCTGGCAGTTGAGAAGCACTGGACAGTGCTTTCCTGGCTCCTGACCTATGTAATGTAATGAAATAAAATGTCTCCTGTTACACTTTACACACTAGGACTTAATGTGTATATGGTATTCGAATGATATGTTTGGAAAAAAATTGGGTGAAAGGAAATGGTAGAATTAGAAAAGAAATCTGTCGAGACTAAGGTAAAGTTCAGAATTTTGTAACAAAATTACAAGAGAAACAGTTATAATGATCTGACCATGTAAAATAAATGGATAGAAGAAGGATACTGAGAAGGGTATCAAAGATAAAATTTAAAGCCTAGAGACCTAGAATGAGATGGTTCAGCCAGGTATTGGAATACAAGGGTGGAAACAGTTAGCAAAGAACTGAAAAATAAGGATTCAGGGTAGAAGTAAAAAGTTGGGGGCTTCTCTTCCATTGACATATATAAAATTAACATGAAGCTAGGAGAAGAAGATTTGCATTAATTGTGCTGATAATGTCCATTAAAGTAAAGTTGTCTGTGCACTTAACTAATTAGGCACTAGACCATGAAGATATATAGGGGAGTAGATGTATAGATCCATGTTTTCTCAACCCTGGCACTAATTTCCATATACCTTCAACACATTTATCATCCTATTAGAGAGGGGTGTATTATTCAGCTGTCAAGCGTTTTAATACTCTTCCATCAAATATCGCAGTTTTAAAAAATGATAAAAAGCAATTTAGGCTTGTTCTACAAAATTATTTGCAAAGAAACACATTTTACTCAATTGATGAATTTGTCGATCATGTAAGTGGCTCAAAAGTTAAGAGGTAATAAATGGTCTGTGTGCATGAATTATACATTATTGAGACTTGCTTGTAAGTGTAGTAGTATGTATGATGTCTGTTTTTTCTTATGAATTTTAATGTTTTATAATGTAACTGTTTTGATGATATGGCTCGCCAGCATGTGTTGAATGGCAAGGTATGAATTTGATTGTGGTTTCTCCATGACCTATGTGTGTTGTCCTGACAAGTTGAGCTATTCTGTCTCAGGCTTGATTTTGTATTTTATTGGACCAAGGACGAATGATGTGTAGTCATCATGAATTTGTAATATGTGACATGTTTCATATCCAGCCCTACAGGGAGATGATTGGATCCATGAAATGATAAAAAAATGTAAATGTAAATGAGTGGCCAGCTTCATTTCCTTGCCGCTTCATCCCCTGGTCCCTATTATATAGGAAGCTGGGCAGACCCAGAGCCGGTCTGGGCAAGTTGGAGAAGAGAAAATTCTTGACCCTGTTAGGACTCAAACTCTTGACCCTCAGTCGTGCCCATAGCCAGTCGCTATGCCAACTACACTATCCTGGTTAATGATAATTTCAGGATACAGTAAATTTAAATGTAGCCACAAATGCTTGATTGCTGCAGCATAGATGCTAGCAGTCTGTAAACACATTCTTTTTAAGTTGTTGTTTCATTAATTTAGAAATACTATATAGTGCATCCACATCTGCTCTGAAGATGTTTGGAGTGACAGCTTTCTTCTTACAGAGCGTACTGTGGTAGTGTCTGAATATCATCCCCGGTCACTGAACTCAGAACAGTTATCTTTAGATGAAACAATCAAGGTAGCATACCAGACACTGCAAGCATTAAGCTACCTCAATGACCATGGAATTGTTCATCGCAGTCTGTGTCCAGAGAACATGCTACTCACAGGTAGTGGAGACATCCAGCTCTTCAACTATGGTTTATATTATATGACTGGTGGAGGAACAGATGTGTCATTTCCTATTGGGTAAGTATCTATTACCGATTAATTTGTTTTTTATTTGTGAAAGGATTAACATTTTCATTTTGTCATCCTATAGAATATTGTCTTTATGCTGAGTTTGAAACTAGAATAAATATTTGTTAACATAATTGTGAATTTGACTTCATTTAGGGCCTCATGACCTGTGCTGTCCATCCTGACTTGAAAGTCTTGAAGTATTGTCCCATAAATACACAATTTACAGTATCTAAAGACGTGTTGTCCTTTCATGCTTTTTTCGCAGGCATCCAAAGTATGTTGCTCCAGAGGTGTATCTGAGTGGCCGTTGTACCAAGTCAGGTCCCAAGGTTGATGTTTGGTCCTTAGGCATTATTATACTGGAACTGGCCCTTGGAAGACAGCTGTGGAATGACCTAAAGTTAGCACAGTGTATGCGTAAGGTGCTGAGCCTGTTACACGTTCAGGTGTCAGTGCTGGAGCGCCTGGCTAGAGAACTTGGCTGTTGGGACCAGTGTCAGGTGATGTGCTTGTATACTAAATTGCAGGAAGCATTAACAGCGTAACATTGTAATGAAAGATTATTCCCATATTGCTTAGTTCGTGATCTCATATGGTACATACATGGGGCAATCCAGAAGTTACCGAAATTTGAATTTTGCGCGCAAATGGTTATGAGTACATGGAAATACCGCTAGGTGTCTCCTCACACATCCTTCTTGAATCAGTGTGGCAAGCGGCGTCGAGTTGAGTGGTTGGGTTTATTGTTGGTGAACGTATTTCCATTGTTGTGTTTCCGTGAGTTTGCTGTTTTGCGATGGCTGACCTGAGAGAGCAGCCTGTCTGTATAAAGTTTTGTTTCAAACTTGGGAAAACTGCTGCAGAAACGCACCAAATGTTGAAGCAAGCTTTTGGTGAAAACAGTTTAGGCCAGACACAAACTTACAACTGGTATAAGTGTTTTAAAAATGGCCGAACATTGACTGATGATGATGATCGTTCGGGACGGCCGTCAACGGGCAAAACACCAGAAAATGTCGCGAAAGTTAGGGATCTGATTCTGCAAGATCGTAGACTGACCATCCAAGACCTCTGTAACACCTTGGGACTAAGTTATGGTACATGTCAACGAATTTTGTCAGAGGAACTGAACATGAGGAGGATTGTGGTGAAGTTTATGCCACGACTGCTGCAAAATGAACAAAAGGAGCATCGCTTGGAAGTCTGCAGGGAACTTCAGCAACAGCTTCAAGAGGATCCAAACTTTCTTTCGAAGGTTGTCACTGGTGACAAAAGTTGGGTTTATGGCTACGACCCTGAAAGCAAGCAGCGATCGTCGCAATGGAAGAGCCCTTCTTCACCTCGGCCAAAAAAAGCTCGACAAGTCAAGAGCAACATTAAGTCCATGTTGATCTGTTTTTTTTTATATTGACGGGATTGTTCATAAGGAGTTCGTCCCTCCTGGTCAGACAGTCAATAAAGAGTTGTATCGCGATGTTCTAAGGCGTTTGAGGGAGGACATGAGGAGAAAACGTCCAGAGAAGTGGCGCACAAACGACTGGGTACTCCACCATGACAACGTACGACCACATACAGCTTACATTATGCAGGAAAATTTTGGCTAAAAACAAGATGACAGTTGTTCCCAACCCACCGTACTCGCCAGACTTAGCTCCATGCAACTTCTTTCTCTTCCCCAAGATGAAAATCAAGTTGAAGGGGCGAAGATTTGATACAGTTGAAGAAATTCAAGTGGAAATGCAGACACTACTAAACACCCTAACAAAGAAAAACTTCAAGGATGCATTTGAAAAGTGGTAGAAACGCTGGGATCGGTGTATGCGCTCCCAAGGGGACTACTTTGAAGGTGGTGGTGCAGAATAAGATCTAGGTAAGATGTAATAGTTTTTATTAATATATTTCGGGAACTTTTGGATTGCACCACATATTTTAACCTTTCTTATTTTCTGTCAGAAGTCATTTGCCACCAACATTCAAATTGATGGCCTCATCATGACGGTTTTTATGAGCATTCATTCATTCATATGTAATCTGTCAAGACGTCAGGTCCACAGTCTTTTCCAAAACAGGTCCTCCACTTGATGCGATCTAGAGCTTTCTCCTTCAAATGAAAATATCCTCTTCTGTCCCCAAGGTCATCCAGCATCTTCTTACGTTTTCTTCCTCGTCTTCTGGCCGCTTCTATCTGCCCCTCTATCTTTCCTTCAATAACTTCTTTTAGAAGGCAGTTACCGCGTAAGATATGACCAATCCAATTAGCCTTCCGTTTTCTTATTTTGTGTAGGATATTCCTCTGCTCACTGACTCTAAATAACACTTCTTCATTTCTCACATAATCGGTCCAACTGATCTTCTCCATCCTTCTCCTTCTCTTTATTCTTGTTGATATCCTGTCACTGATGGTGGTGGAATATGCCTTCTAAATTCTCCCAACCTAGGAATAGATTGCTTTATCCTGTCACAGGCAGAATGCTGGAAGGTCTGTAACAGTAGGATTTAATTTAAGAAGATGACATCATCATCATCATCATCATCATCGTCGTCATCCTTTAGCTTCCACCAGAGCACAGGGCATTAACAAAGTGTTGCCATCTTACACGGTTCTTGCTGAGTTGTTCAGTTTCTCCCCATGTCTTCCCACTAGCCAAGGCTCCCTCTTGTATTGTTCTCTGCCAACTCCTCTTTGGCCTTGTTCTTTTCCTTTTTCCCATGGGTTCCACTCCATAGCCTCCTTCTTGGTTGCATTTTCCTTTCGAAGAGTATGGCCGATCCAGTTCAATTTACGGAAATAGATGACAAGTAAAGGTCTTTCAGGATATGAAGTCCTGCTGTCTGGTAACTAGTTATTGATGTTGTGGACAAAGTTACATTGAAGACGGGGATGGTACTTTTCTCCAAACATCGGTAACAATCTACCAGGCTATGTGGCATCATATCCCAAGGCAATGAATCTTCATAGTTGTCCCACAAGAGCCTCAGGAGAAAAGCAACACTTTATAACTGTGTGTTTGGGAATTATATATTGCCTGTAGGAACAATTTTTGAGGGTGCATCACTCTCAAATAGTAATGCATCAGCATTATGAAGTTACTACAGTCTATTTTCAAACAGGATTATAATAAAATTCACAATTCCAGGGACCTCACTGAACACACAGGCCTTTTCTTCCATAAGATTGCCTTCTAAAGGTATGATATACCCTTAAAGATGTTCTAGACACACAACTGACATGCTGAGCTTTGATTCATATTATGGGACATTTTGGCAGATGGTGACATAAAATATTGTCAACACCTTATACTCTATTGCATCATTGGGTTTATTATTCATTTTATTTCTCCAGAGATTTTTCTTTCAAGTATGGATGGTGTTTCAGGAGCTGCCACCTGAACTCCATGATTTCATCAGCAAGTGTCTGAGTATTTCTCCTTGTGAACGTCCCACACCACACCAGTTACTTCAGCATACCCTCTTTCAAGATTTGTGTGAAGCCGATACAATCACACATACCTCAGAGGAGATGAAGTACCAAGTGTTCCCAGGATTCCAGTCCCGCCGTATCCCAGTCACTAAAAATACAAAGCATCCACTTTTTGAACGAAGCTTACAAGAACTTTATTACCTCTGGCATCTTGCTGGCGGAGACGTGCAGGCAGAACTTAGAAAGCAAGGGCTCATCCGTACAAAAGCGCCCATACTGTCCATCCCAAAGTAAGTAACAACTTGTTTAAGTAGACTGCTGTTCAAAGTAACGTAAGTCTGTTAATGCAAGTGTTGTAACAATGAAGTTTGTATCACATTGTGATCCGGGTTGTGATGTCATGTATGTGTGTAGGTAGGTACCAAAGTTTCAGAAGACCTGCTGCCTTCATCAGGGCAGAGGCCATCTCCTATCTTGAAAATGACTACATGATGACTCAACACATAAAATAACAGTCCAGACTTTCAGCACCATGAAAATCTAAGATCTTGTACACATTTTGTGTTATGTCCAAATAATGAGGATCCTTTATCACCATGCCAATGCATTCCTAGGGGAATATCTCAAGATACCAAAATATACAGGATGAGGAATGACCACATTTTAAAAAGTTTTGTTGTGAAAGTCAGTAAAGCTACAATAATACAGTTTTTGCCATATGAAAGAAAACTTCTGAAAGTTTTATTTATGATGTGTGCTGTATTGAGCCAATATGAATGCACCAGAATTGAGTGACATCAAAGAGACTGCAGAGACCAGTCTGCAGTTACTCTGACAGTAGCGTAAGTCATTCTGAACTTCCCACTGTACACTTGTCGCTGATTTTATGACTACCATCCACTACACACATGCAGCCTACTCTTGGTCGGACGCCATCCTGCGAGAAACTACCAGTTGGCTTCTGTGATCTCCCAAGTATTACTCAGTTTGGCATGTATGCATGTCAATGTGTGCACAGTATGATTGTATAATACAAAATAGAACTTTCAGAGTTTCTCTCCCTAATGGTAGAATCTGCACTCTTCTAGCTTTATTGATTTTCACTACAATTGTTTTTTAATTTGGTCGTCATTCTTCAGATATCTTAAATAGTAAAAGGTAAAAAGGTAAAGCTATACCTGTAACATGCTGTGGAGGTCCATACGATTGTGAGATGTCGAAGCTCCCACATTTTCTGGACAGTCAGCTCACAGATGACAGTGAGGTTGTCAACCATACACCCCAGCCACCTGTTACCCCCAGAAAGGTTCCTGGTACTCATGTCTGATAAAGGCTGAGTCGACTCAAGGGCCATAGTGCAGCTGAAAAGATTAGGTCAATTCAAATTGCAGTGACATTGGGAATTGAACCCACAATCTTTTGGGTTGTGATATATTGCCTTAACCAACTATGCTACTGTGTGCCCCCATCTTGATTGGGCATCGCATTAATAACCCATTGCCAAGAGAAAACAGGTACAAGGTTTTAAGGTCTGTAAAGTAGATTTACTAGCATGCTTTCAGGTTCCAGCATTTTACTTTTGTAATGTCAGAAATTTATGTACTGCATAATGAGATGATTACTTATAAATTAGATGTGCTGCCTATGGGCTGTAGTGTAACAATGCAGAAAACTACAATTTAAAGCATTCAGAATTTGGAGGGAAACCAGATACATCCAGTCCCCAGCTAACATGAGTTATAGTGCATGAATTTAGTTGAACACAATTTTTAAAGTATGGCTGGTTTTGGATTGACAACAACAGAATTTTTTGGTTTAACATTAATTCTCCATTATGTGGCATGATATTATTTCTTAGAAGACATTCATATCTAACTAATATAGTTTCACCTTACACAAAAGAATGCATCCATCATGTCTGTTGGTGACTGGATGTGCTTTGAATATGAACATTTAGGTAGGAGGATAACATTAAGATGGAGAATTCCATCTTCTGGGATGTGGCACCATGGCTGCAGCCACCTGCTCATGCTGCTTCCTCACAGATTTCTTATACCCTGAAGATGGAGGTGATATATTCCTCCAAAATGTCAGTTAACACAATATCTGCGTGGCGCCACATTCCAGAAGACGGCATTCTTCATAGTCACGGCCGTGAAATCCTCAAATCTAAAATTAAGATGGATGACTGCAGGGAGCAATGGATTTACATGTTCTTTGCTTTCTACAGGCTGGTTTTGTTGGAAGGAACAGTGTTTGGGCAAGTGAGAGATCAAACTTCAATGCTGGATTTACGAGTCGTGCCTATTCCACTAGATACACTGTATCAGAGATTAGCACATATACCACTCACAAGTTACTACCCACTTGTGGAGACAAAGTGAGCATGCATATCTGTTGTTTTATATTTATATTCTGAATGTTATCCACATATTTTCAAAATGATTGTTATTTGGTTTGTAGGCTTATTTCCAAAGCCTCTCTTAATACTGTTACTTGAAAAAAATAACTTCATATTTCGATATTTTATTTTGATAATATAAATTATACAGCAATAGATTATAAAGGGACACTATGATTGATAACTGACTGTTGAAGAGTACTTTCTTCTGGGATGTAATGCTGTGTAGCTCAGTAGAAATTAATAGACTTTTTTTTTTTTTACATTTTCAATTAATTTAGATCAGAAATAATTGCAAAAGGGGATGGAGAGCAATTGGAAGCTGCATCTCTTCCATTAGTCATCCGAGAGCGTGACACAGGGTATCAGTTCCATAGAGTTGTTCTCTATGATAGACTTATCAAGGTAAGCTTAACTTCATGCAGTAAATTGTTCCTGGAAGTCTCAGAGCTGATCAGCATTTTCCAGGATCTTGCCATGCTACTGATGTATGAATTTCTCTCATGCCTGCATTGTCAGCACCTTGAATGTTAAGGAAATATATAGAAAAGGTGTTTATACTAATTCCAGAAACTTACACATAGTACTTTGTTAATAAATTCATATAAAATAATCTTATTTGCAATATTGCACATTTCTAAAAGTGATTTAAAAATTAATTTCTTCAGTTTTTGTTGTGTGGTAACATGAATATTCATACTGAATTCTCATTACTGAGACATTTCTATATCAGGCATATGTTAATTGAGTTCATCAGTTCTGTTCTGTGTTCCTTATGGTATCTTCACTCTAAATTTACAGCCAAAAATTAAAATAAAAAAAAAAAGAACACACACACACACACATATATATATATATATATATGGACAGAACACATTAATGTGGTACTTAATGTACATTACAGTTTGATGGGGAACACTCCGCCAACTTCATGTTTGGGGGCTCCCAAGATGGAGACGAAGTATCCTGATGAGGTTTTCTGTGGTTTTCCTCAGTCCTTGTAGGCAAATTCTAGGACAGCACCCCACATTAGGTCACACCACTTGTTTCCACACCCTTCTCATGTTATTATTCAGTAATAATCATGTCACTTTATTATGATCGGAGCTATTGAAAATGTCCTGAAGTAAACCATAAATAAATAAAAAATAAATATTGCATTGAGAGTATGTCTTCGTGTGTTGTAGCACTGTGTAGCTCAGACAAAGCCTGAGACTTTGGAGGAATAAATCACCTCCATCTTCATGGTGGTCAAAGACAAAGACAAGCAGGAAACCAGTACAATCAGGTAGCAAGCAGAGTGAACAATGCAAGGAAAATCAGGCCTTGTATAGGCCAGTGCAAGCCTGAATTGAATTGTGGGAGAGCCAGTGAAATAGAGAATCAGAGATAGCTAACAGGAGCAAAGGATATGGTTCGTCATCTTGGCGCTTGCTTATACTGATTTCTTGCTTGACTTACTCTTTGACTCTGAAGATGAAGGCAGTATGTTCCTCTGAAATGTCAGGCTTTCTCTGGTGATACTTGGCGTTAAACCCACAAGACTGTACTCTTCATAGTTATCACTGTGAGAAGCTCAAATGTGAGATATGATACTGTTTCACATACTATCACAGCATGTTAATTATTAAATTAAAAATAAAATTAAAAGGTAAAGCTATCCCTGTAACAGGCCATGGAGGCCTGTAGGGTTGTAAGACATCAAGGCTTCCACAGTTTCTAGACATTCGGCTCACAGATAGTGGTGAGGTTGTCAACCTTATGCACTGGCCACCCTTTACCCCCAGTAAGATTCCTGGTACTCATTTGTGTTAGAGGCTGAGTCAACCCCAGGACCATAGTGTGGCTGGAAGTATTAAGTCAGTTGAAAAATCCAATTCCCTCATCAGGATACAAAATTAAAGTAAAAGAGAAATAATCTTTCAACTGGAATTCACAATGGAGAGAGGTTTTATTATTACAATAGAGACCCTGTTTACTTCTGTAGCCAAGTCATTTCTTTAGAGTTAACAATTTGAGTGTTCATAGAAAAATAGCAATGTATCTTATGAGCAACTAAGACCAAAACCTCAGAACACTGTTGTATTGGACTAAATCCGTTCAGGGATTAAAACAATGCTGGAGTTTTCAGTGGGGCACCAGAAATATCAGTAAGAGAATAAAGTGAAGTAATAATGAGCCATCATGAACTAAAAGTAAATAAGACCTAATTTTATGTAGCTGTTTTGTCAAATTTTGTAATTAAAGTAATTACCCACAATTATTCTCTATTTACTGCATACAGGGATATCCTTATAAGAAAGCAGCAATCCTTAAAGAAGCTCACAAAGACATTCCACCTTTGTACCGTGGAAACATCTGGGCAGCTCTGCTGGAAGTTGATGGTGACATTGATGGGAACTATGTGGCAGTTGATAAGGAGACGCCCACTCATACCGACAGACAGGTCATTGGACTTCAGCTTACCTTCTCCTTCCCCACAAGTTCATTATAGAAGCAGAAAGGAACAGGAGGATGGAGAAAATTACATAATGAGGACCTCTATTATCTGCACTCCTTACCTGATGTTTTCAGTGTGGGTGCGCTGTGTGAGATAAAGGAGGAAGGACCTAAGAAAAGAGAAGTGACATAAGGCTAAACACAGTTTCATAATGAAGAGTTTTACAATTTGTACTTTTCACCACATATTACTAGGATGATTAAATGAAGGACTAGATGGGTGAGGCATGCAGCATGTATTAACACTTTGTGGACCGGCAATTTAAATATTTAAATCACCCTGGGGACCGGCATTTTTAAACCTACTACCCTAACTTGTGCACTGTTCACTTTAAAAATTAATCTAAAATCTCCTAATTAATTTTATGAACTAAAATTTTTGGAGAACACTTATCAATGTTCCTAGAAGTGCTTGAGAGTGTGATAGCTCTGGAAACGTTCCCCTTTGTGAAGTGGCATTACACAGAACTTGCAAATGTAGACATACTCCTTTTTTTGTGAACTGTGCAAACATAGCATTGCCCAGAAGGATGCTTCCCCTTGGAATGTTCACTCTTCACAATTTTCATGAGGGTATGTTTCTGCATATCACCCGAGAGTCGCCCAGGGGGGTCCACATGAAGCGTAAGTGGGGTGGGAGTTGATGGGCCCAGTCGCACTGTGTCTGTGTCTGACTCTGGTTCTGCCGCCACCATCTGGTTTGTAGCCCGGGCCTTTGCCACATTCATCAGAAATCCTTTGTATTTCAATTTTGAATCAGGGTTTAGATTTTTGTAAACCAAAAATGAATTGAAAATGGCACAATTTATAACCACAAGGCAACTTTCTTTGTACACTTTATTGTTTTCCTAGGAAGAGAATAATAGGCTAAGTATTGATCAGCTCTTCCAACTCCCTTCATGAACATATTATACTCAGAAATACAAATAGGCATCTGTACTTGTCCACGTCTCCTTTGAACGTCAACCATGCTCGAATTGTGAATTGTGGAAATCATATTCACAACATGAGCATCCCTTCAGGACTGAAGAAGAATATCCCCCTCTCTCCTGAATGTGGTTTCATCACATTTCAGGGATTTAGATTCCTCTTTCAGATCTGGAGGAAGGCCTCTGCTCACCCTAATTGTTCCACAAATGTTTAAAAGCAAAAAGCATAATATTATGCGACTGGTCTGCAGAGTGTTAAAGAGATTAAAATTAAATACAGGATATTAATTGGAGAACTTGCAGGGAGGAGACTACTTGTGAGACTGATATGCAGACACAGGATTAGGAGCAAGGATGTCCCTTGTGAACACATTAATTAACTAGCTAAGCAACTGTTATCTTTTCAAGAATATTGCTGCTCTGTGGAGTTTGCTGTTCCTGTCCTCCTCCTTATGTGTCCATGTGTATATGTGAAGAAAGATCATTTCACTGTTCATGTTCTATTTCATTTGTTCTTACAGTCTTCTCTTTACGTAACAGATTGAGGTGGACATTCCACGCTGTCACCAATATGATGAACTGCTTTCTTCTTATGAGGGACACCGCAAATTTAAGCGTGTACTCAAAGCCTGGGTGGTGAGTCACCCCCAGTATGTGTACTGGCAAGGACTTGACTCCCTCTGTGCACCCTTCTTGTACCTAAATTTTAACAGTGAAGGTGAGTGTGATTGGCACATTCTTGGAATCTTAAGATTATCTTAGTTAAGTTTGTCCACATCATGCTTTCCATGTTGTACATGCATATAACAGCAATTTGAAGCTATTTCTAAATTAATTTTTACATTCAGTATATGCATGTCAAGTATATAAATATGAAAAGTCTTTGTGTGTTTATGATTTAACCCTTAACAGTATAGTGTTGCATTTTTGCAATATTTATACCAAAACTCACAGTTAAAATTGAACCACCAGTGCCAGAGTACTTGTGGATATGATATCCCATCATGTCAGCTGATAAAAACTGTTACTCCTAAGTTGAAATCTGTCCATTGACCCTGTCATACTGGGAGACTTAAAATCTCTTATTCCTGGATGATGATAAATTAATGTTCCACTTTTAAACAATAATAACACTTAATTATAGACACTGACATAATTATATGTGAACCTGAAGATGGCCATAATAGATATGAGGTGTAGTTGTAAGTTTTGTGGTTTTCATGGCAGCAGTTGTTAAGATTGTGGCCTCGTGAGTTGCATCATGCACTGTGTAGTCTTGTGGGCAGATACTGATGTTTCAGAGGAATGAACTGTTTCCATTTTCAGGATTGAATATGTATGTATAGGATTAAGCTGATTTGTATAGTCAGGTTACAAGAGTGGTTGTCATGAGACCCAGTGAGAGGGGATGAACAAAGGACAATAGGAAGAAATGGATGCGCCCTTTTTTTTTTTGTAGTTGACATTTCCCTCTAATGGTGGCCATGAAAAGTTGTGTTTCTGTCAGTCTTTTTAACACAGTTCCACTTTTCCTCCTAAAAACAACATGGGATCCCTGGAAAAGCCGATTCAGCTCATTCCACTTCTCATCTGTGACAATTAACCAATGTGCCCATAATAATGAGAGTTTTTGGCCTCTTGTCTTTACCCTCTCTCTTTGGGCCTCATCACCACTTTCACTGTAATTTGCCCATATAGCCAAGCTTATTCCTGAACCTACACATTTCAACCTTGAAGATGGAGGCAGCATGTGCCCCAAAAATATCAGTACTTACCCACAAGAGTACACAGTGCCACAATGCTGAAGATCATATTCTTAAGAGGTACAGTTGAATGTTAAAATAGCAGAGTTAAACTATGAATTGTTGTTTATGTTACTGGTATATTTACTGTTTTGTCTAGCTCAAGCATTTGCATGTCTGTCAGCCTTCATTCCAAAGTACCTGCATAACTTCTTCTTGAAGGACAATACTGCAGTGATTCAGGAGTATCTGGCCAAGTTCTCTCATCTGATAGCATTCCATGATCCAGCCCTAGCAAATCATTTAGCTGGGATTAGCTTTATTCCAGAATTGTTTGCCATTCCCTGGTTTCTCACAATGTTCTCACGTAAGTAATGGATTACAGTAAGAAGGGGAGCCTAAGGTAACTATAAAACTATCATCATTTGTTATTTTGTTTTTTGTAAAATTGATATCCATTAGAAAATAACAATAAAACTATGTGTAAATTAGAAATATGCAGATTTTTTGTGGTTTAATTATTACCATCTCAGTATCTTAGGCTGTATAGCATAAAATGGTAGGATATATGTTGAATGATGAATCTGAAAGATTTTGAAGAAGTTGGTTGTGGTCTGATAAGTTACTGTCTTATGGCTGGACGGACTACAGAAACCAGAATAAACCTCAGCCAGGATAGCTGGTGTCATGTCTAATAGTCAAACCAAGCACATTCTGAATACAAGGCTGTTGTATTTCAGTAATCATAACCTCTTAAAATGTTTAGAAGATAAAATTTACACAAAATACAATTTTGTGCTGTGGAAAAACAACATTTTGAAAGTGAATCAGAGTCTTGGATGAAATTTAAACTGTGCTTCAGGTAGAATTGTGATCACATTTATTTGGCATCATGGCAAGAGTTCCAGTATCTGTGGGATGTGCGGGTAGTTTAAGTGTGACATGTCATTTTTAAGTGTTACAGTAAAACCTCCAGTTTAATCTTCCTTCATTTAAGGATTTGCCCTCAGTTTGATTAATTTGGACACCTAGGGCAATAGATCAGAAACACCTGGAAAGCTTTGAAATGTGGTGTTGGAGAAGGATGGAGAAGATCAGTTGGACCGATTATGTGAGAAATGAAGAAGTGTTATTTAGAGTCAGTGAGCAGAGGAATATCCTACACGAAATAAGAATATGGAAGGCTAATTGGATTTGTCATATCTTATGCGGCAACTGCCTTCTAAAAGAAGTTATTGAAGGAAAGATAGAGGGGCGGATAGAAGTGACCAGAAGACGTAAGAAGATGCTGGGTGACCTTGGGGACAGAAGATGATATTTTCATTTGAAGGAGAAAGCTCTAGATCGCATCAAGTGGAGGAACTGTTTTGGAAGAGACTGTGGACCTGTCATCTTGACAGATTACAGATGAATGAATGAATGAATGAATGAATCCATTGCTCCACAGAGGTTTATTAACTGGAATTTTCTCATTTTCTAATTTCCGGTTTACTTATTTATTGACTTCATCATTTATCCTTTAATTTAATATAATTTAATTTAATTTTTGTACATAACAAGATTTAGTTCTGTGACTGAAAAGCATGCAGTTCCAGATGAGCATTCTCTGTAATGTTTAAATTCTTCATACAAAGTATGTAAAATATATACATTAGATATAGGAAACTGTGAGGCTATTTATATTTCAGATGTATTCCCATTACATAAAATTCTTCATCTTTGGGACAAACTTCTTCTTGGTGATGCATCATTCCCACTTTATGTTGGGTTGGCAGTCTTGCAGCAGCTGAGGGACACATTGCTGGCATCTGGATTTAATGAATGTATCCTTCTCTTTTCTGACTTGCCAGGTAGTTGCTTACAAGGTACATTTTCTTTACATGTGGTCAAACCCGTCTTTCATACTACTCTGAAAACTGAACAGAAATTGTAACTTTAAGGTGGTGTAACCTTGTACTGTACTTAGTATAATGGGAGGAAACAGTGATATCTCCTCTTTTTTCCTAAACCTCATATTTACCCTACTTTCCTTATTTTTAAAAAATAGTTTGAGTTTTAGGATATCACCTTATGGTTTGTCTGTGTCCCCTCCCCCAGTTTTTTCTTTTTCTATTTCTATGCAGCCCAGGTGGATTTTTTTTCAATTTACGTAATCCTTCCAGCTGCACTATGGTCCTGGGGTCAACTCGCCTCTTAACAGAAATGAGTACCAGGAATCTTCTGGGGAGGGGGGGTAAAAGGGTGGCTGGTGCATAAGGCTGACAACCTTCACCATCTATGAGCCAGTTGTGTAGAGAAAATGTTGGAGCCACAGCATCACAACCCTATGGGCCTTCACAGCCTGTTACAGGGATAACTTTACCTTTTACTGTGTTGTATGAAAGGAAAGTAGGCAATTAGTTTTTCCCAGAACTTCTTGTCTTCTGTTGTTATTTTTCTGATGTGCATGTATAAACATGAGAAAATTATTTATTATATACATAAGGTATTATGACTTTTTGCTGATTTTTATTTCACATTATGTTCCTGTAGTATACGTAGACAGTGCTTTTAGTATGTGTGTATGGAGGCCTGGTGTGCTGGTACCCTCATGTGCATGTTCCCTTTCCAAGTTTTGAACTAATTGTTCAATTTTCATGGAAAGTGACATGAATGTTATACCACTGGATCAGTATTTGATTGCGCATTTAACGTGTTCTTGATTACAGATATTTTAATTTTCAGAAAAGATGATGGTACTGTGTACTGCTCCATACCACAAAGAAAGCACTGTACAGTATTATCTATTCTTACTTCTTCATCCAAAACGGTACAAATAAAGAATATATACATATTTTATCGTCAAGGAGTAGGAGCCTAATGATGACGCATCTTTCATTCATTGGTCATAGACATGCATATTTCTTCTTTTTACAGAGATTGACATGGAACGCTGCGTAACCGACTCAATTGAACTGTATTGCAGCACCCCTCGCAGTGTAACATACCGGCAACATGAACTGCAGCCCGAGAGACTGCCTGATAACGAGACAAACACAGAATTGGTTAGTACTTTAAAATCCTCAGCTTGTCCTTTGTGGGCAAAGGAGGAAGAACAGCAGACTTGGATATGTGAATGTTCATTACAGTCAGGTTGTTGTTGCAGTTAGAATAGATGAGACAATTCCAGTTGACATAATACATGGGTTACTTCAAAAGTCATGGCAACTAATTTCTTTTGAGCAAATACGTTACAGTGAAGAAAGTTTAAAATATTCTTATGAAAGGGCATGATATACCCCTCTGATTGGCTTAGTCAGATCAGGTAGATGTGAAGGGACGTAGGTATAGTAGGCAAGAAAAATTGCACATTACGGAATGACTGTTTTTTTTTTTTCATTCTTTAATCCTCGAAAAATTCAAATGTGATTAATAAATAAAAAATTCCATGTGACTTAAATCTGAATTCTTACATTATGACTAGCAACCTTCAGAGTAGTCTCCAAGTGTATCATGTGTATCTTCCTCCATGCACTGGGCGATCACGGCATGAGAAACATCAGTACGAACGGACACAGGGCATCCACTACATTGCAAGTCGGCACTCGCTTCTCTTCCACGTTGGAATGCTTCTGTCCACTTTGCAACAGTTCCACATGGTAGAGCACAATCAACCAGAGCTTCCACAAGCTCTGAGTGACATTCAGTCGCATTTCTGCCGCGAAGCACTGCTATTTTCACGTAACAATGCTGTTCTATCCAGCTAACGTTCATTCTCGACGAAGGTTATGATCACACTGACTACATGCTGGACTCACTTCATTGTCCTTGGACTTCCACATCATCTAGCAGCATCATTAGAAACCAGATTTTGCTGTCTCTCAGTGGCAAATTTGGAAATTCTGGTTGGAGCTTTCAAAATTTCGGAAAAATTATGTTGTCATGACTTTTGAAGTAACCCATGTATTTCCATGTGATTTTATTTTCCATGTGAACAGAGAATGTTGCCATGATACTGGGGGTGTCTGCAGTTGGGTAATGGTAAGGTTTTTGCATAATTATCATCATCACTGGCACGACAGCCCTTTGTGAGCCCTGGCCTTCCTCAGGATTGCTCGCCATTCTTCTCCATTCGATGCTACATTCCTCCAGTTCTTTACATCCAAAATTCTTATGTCCTGTGACACACATTCTTCCCATCTCAATCTTGGTCTTCCCACTTTCCTATTTCCTTCTGGTTTAGTAGTAAGTATTTTCTTATCGTTCTATTCTCGCTGGCATGTATTATGTGTCCAGCCAATTCGAGCCTTTTCACCTTTATAAATCCAGTAATGTCTGGTTCATTAAATAGTTTGTATAGCTCATGGTTATACCTCTTCCTCCATATTCCATTTTCTTCCACTGGTCCAAAGGTATATCTCAGGATCCTCCTTTCAAATATACTTAACAGTCTTTCATCCGATCTTGACAGTGGCCAGGTCTCAGAGGCATAAGATAGCACTGATCTTATAAGTACTTTATACATCATAGTTTTGGTTCTTGGTATTAGTTGGGATTTTAGGTGTTTCCTAAGGGCACGGAGACATTTATTTGCTGCAAGTACAAGCTTTTTTATTTCATCACTGATGTCATTTTTACAGTTAACTTCTTATCAAAGGTAAGTAAAACTATACATACAACCTCAAATTTATGTGAGCCAATTTCAATATATGCAGGTCCATTAGCACAGTCTTTGTTGGTTACTGGCATGTACTTTGTTTCATTTTGGTTAATTCGTAGATTCATCTTTTTTGCTGCTCTTTCCAAAGTTAAGAAAAGCTTCTTTCATAGATTTTGTGTTCTACCAATTGTATCAATATCATCTGCAAATGCCAAAATTTGAACTGACTTATAGAATATAGTTCCCCTTGTGTTGATGCCTGCATCTCTAACTACCTTCTCTAATGCTCTACAGGTTTTTGCATAGAAGACTAAAAAACATGGATGCAGTCTGTGGTCAGAGGAAACAAGTTTTTGACTCAGACAAAATATCGTCATCCACGTCCTTCTCAGATTAAGTTTCTGTGACCTGTTACTGTTATAAAGCAGAATCTTTCCTTAATTTGAGAGATCTTCCTAGGCATCTCCTTCACCTGGGTTGATATTTATATAGTTGTCTTCTACCTTGAATATGGAGACAGTAGGTTTCTCTGAAAAGTTGGTACTTATCTACCAGACTGAATGGTGCCACATCACAGAAGACAGTAGTCTTCATTTTTTTGTAGTTGTTTATTGTTTTATTCCACTCAAGACCTGACTCTTTAAAAATATATGTCTAACCTCTTCTGTAGGGTTATACAGAATATAGTATTCATGAAATCTGTCATGTCATAAATTCTCTCTTGTCAGATGAGCATGACTTTGTTTTCCTTCTCATGAAACATGTTTCACTAATGGTAATCATCACACAGGTCATAGGATAAATATCACACAAACTTACATTAAGACACATTTTTGTTTCTTTTTTTATTTCCTATTGCCGTACTCAACTGTAAATAGGTACCATCAGGTGACATACATAAAGTAGTTAACTATGTATGTATTGTAAGTACAGATTTGTTAAAAATGTGGATGCATGGGATATGACATCATGTAATCTGATAGAAGTTTACTGAGTAAACCTAGCAAGCAACAAGCAGAGCTTTTACTTTTCTTGTTTGCTGGTCACTTGGCTTGCTTTTCAACTCTGAATAGGGAGGTAATATTTTCCTCCAAAATATCAATAAAGTGCCACCAGACTACATGGTGTCACATCCCAGAAAACAGTGTTCTTCGTAGGCACTGCTATAGGAATCTCAAGTCTCACATATTAAATGGGGATTTCTCTGCAATTTCATGTCATATACTGATATCTATTGTGTTTGATGGGTATAGGAAATGAGTGCTGTACCAGTAGCTGAACTCCAATCAGAACTGTGTCCTCGCATTAGTGCCGCTGACCTCCTAGAGCTCCACTACAAGAGGAAATCCAAGTTAGCTACTGTGGACATACGTACAGTGGAAGAGTACAACCGTGGCACTGTGCCAGGAAGCATCCATATTCCATGGTCCCCTGCTTCAGTCCCTGATCTCAGTGCACTTCAGGCCAACAAAGGTCGCATCATTGTCGTAATAGGTTCTCATGCATTGCCCTCCGCTCAGGTAAGTTGGCACTACAGCTTGTGATTTGGTAAGTGACTTGTTTGGATCTTGGCTATTCTGAGGTCTTTTGTGGTTTTCTTCAGTCCTTCAAGGCAAATGCTTGGATGATACGTGAAGTTAGGCTAGGACTGCCTCCTTGCAAATTTTTCCCAGTTCATTATTCGCTGGTCATCTTACTGTTTGGTAATATATAATCTCAGTTACTAGCATATTTATCAAATGAACATTAATAAGACCTTTATGTACAATAGCCCATCACTTGATGTGACCGACAGGGGCAAACAGTCAAGTTCAACCAGTTATGTGATGAGACTGGCAATGATTTCATTAATATTCTTCTCTGTGAGAACCCCATATCTCATATGTTATGTGGTATTGTTATCACAGTGATTTTCTGCAACCTGCAACTAATCTGAAAGTTGTATGTGTTATAATCCTGAAGCTGGTGTTCCAAATAGAACTGTTGTTAAGTTTAATTAAATAAATTTACTTGACATTTATTGATAGTTTGGCAGACATTTGGTCCAGAATGGTTTGCCACGTGTTTGTTGCCTTCATCGGGGTATTCAGGTCTTGCGCTCAACTGACATCCTCGTAGTACCAGGAGCTATGTGACGTCATAGGGGTGGTACTGCAGAAGCCTGCAGTGCAAGTGATCTTACTGTCACCCCACCTTCCAGTCCAGGTAAGCAAGTGCCACATGTTTTAGAAGACTGACAATTGAACATACAACGTATTCTATCCCTCTTTTCTTTCAGCTCTCTCACTTGTAAATGTTAATGGCTGCTTATATGAATCTCTACAGTGAATTCCATTTCTTATCTAACTTAAACTAATAATAATTTTGCCAAATTCATAATATATCAATTCTTTATTATGAGAAACTTTTTCAAACTTCTGACATACACAGTGTTTTGATACTGAACTATAATATTGAACACCTTTGTGGATGATAAACCATTTGACAGTGCACAGTACCCCTTAAACTATCAGACCAGTGTAATTCACATTTATATTACTACATCTATATCACTAGCCTCCAATAACAGTTTTTTTATATACATACAAAATACAGAATACTCCAATCTGTCCATGGGAACACAACAAAATCACAAAAACCAACAACTGACTCGATGATGTAAAGCATCAATCGAAGAATTTTATTCTTGTTTTATGCTATAACTTTTGTTTTTATATATCTAATTTATTGTATTTTTACATCAAGTATTTTAATATATTGTAACGTGTTTTGCTACTGATGACGCCGTTCGGATTGTTAATTGGTTTATTTACAAACCCTACACACTAATCTATTCACTCTGTCTTCAGTAGTCTTCACTTATTCACAGTATAATACGGGAGCTATACCAGTGTCACTCTATTACACACTCCCAGTACCTTCTCCCCAGGGCTTGAGGTGGGGCGGGATGGCATCCCGGTTCTTTTCTAAATGGCTTAAAAGCATCCCGTTACTTCTTTGGCGGTAAATGCAATGTACAGTACCTTTTTTGGGAAAACCATCCCGGTTCTATTTTCATTCCACCTCAAGCACTGCTTCTCCCACTATCACTTTTAATCACACATTCTGGTTTTCTTTCCGCATTCACGATTCACTAGCTACAACTGAACTCGGCGACTGTTCCAATTCAACTGACTCCTTAGGCAGTGCAGTTCTCTTATAAAACCTCAGCCAGACAATGGAAAGCACCTTGCTTCCCTCTTGCCATGTCGCCTGTTTACAGGTGTTGCTGGGCAATGCTGTCTAGAGTTGTTTCCTGCTGTACAGTAACCGCGGCATCCCCCGCCACGTCACTGCGGCAGTGGTTGCCTGACACCCGCTCCTCTGCCACGTCACCATGGGGGAGGGGGGTGAAGTGTTGACTGGCTTGTTACCGTAGTAGCAACAGTGCTCCGATGCCGCCACGTCACCGCTGGCGGGGGGGGGGATGTCCTCCATAGCGCAATGCATCACAATGTTAATATTAGTGTGTCCAGTTTTATTAATACTGCAGTTCAGTGGTGTACATATGTTAGCCATGTGTTTGCCTGATGATGGCTATTAATAGCCGAAACATGTAGCAGAGCCAAAACTAGGCACTCTCATTGATACAGTTGTGTTGTGACGGTTGTAATAAAAGAAGTTGTATATTGTAACACAACAGGATGCATGAAATGAAAATTAAAAAAAAAAAAGTTTATGTTTATGCATTATTTATTCCTTGTGAAAATAGAGTTACAGCCTTTTCAAAGAATCTGACTGAACTAAGTGCATCATTCAAGCCACATTTAAATCTAGCATCCCAAATATGATTGTTGAATAACTGGAAAATAGGCAATGTAATAATGTATTAATCAAAATTCAAATCTCCGCTTAATCTTCTAACAGTTTGCAACAGTGTTACATTAATTGAAACATTATTTTTCTGGACATTATCGATGATCCTTTCTTTATTCAAAAACACAAAGTGCCAGAGACTGGAGTCTACCCATCTTCAGGTAAAACCTACTCAGTTCAGCCCAATTGATAGGACCAGTCCCTAGTCCCTAATCTTTTCTATATTCAGTGCTGTAGTAAAGGATGGCCGGTCCAAGGCAGTGCCTGGGTACTTTTTGGAGTGGTGGGGCAGTACCTTATCACTCTTTTAATGATATTGATATGAAACATTAAGTTATTATAATATGTTTAATTTACCACTTCTGAAAGAAAAAGTTCATGAGCTATTTGTTGTTGAGTTTTGCTTTTAAAAGTGTAAAGCCATCGTTACATAACGAGAAAAGCTTATCATGATTTATCCCATTTCTTTCAACATGGAACTGCACTCCTTTCTGCATCATATGTGCAAAGTATCAAGCTAATAAAATCAGTCCAGTCCAGTGCATACAGCACTGAACCTTTGGCAACTTACAGAAGGTCATGTACTAGGGAATTAGTGAGATGGTAAGTCCTGAGAAGTCTGTTAGCTGGTGTAGATAATTAATTGAAGTTAACTATGCACCACAGCATTTACATGGACATTATTCCAGTACTTCTTAATGTCGGTCTGTAGGCTAATTCCATTAGTCCTCTTATTTTACCAATGTTAATATTTCCTTTTCTTTCCAGTATGCAGGAGACCATTCTAACCAGTTGGTGAGAACTGTCATAGTTACAGTCTGGAAACTGAAGCACTGCAATATGATGAATGAAGGCAACAGGAGCTATCCTGTACTCTTCGCGTTTTAAGCTGTTGTTTATCAGTGACACCCTAATCATGGTGCTATTATTCTGAGAGTCATAATTGTTGTTTAAAAAAAAAAAAACTCCATGGCCTGTAGTCCGTGAGCGAAGTATACCGACCCAGGGACCAGCAAAGTTAGTGCCAACTTTAGTGGATAGGTGTCACATGGTCAGCGCAACAAATCCCCACGGCCGTTAATTTCGGTTTTCTAGACCGGAGCCGCCGTTTCCTTGAAATAGCTCCTCAGTTATGCTCATGAGGCTGAGTGGACCCTGTTCCAGACTTACTGCTACTCATAAAATCTGGTAGCGCCGGGAATCGAACCTGGGACCTCTGGATCTGTAGCCAGGAATGCTGACCACTAGACCACAGAGGCGGTCATACCACAGAGGCGGTCATACATTTACCAACAATATCTGTATGTCTGCTAAGAATGAATTCATCAATGTATATTATCACTTTTTTATCATACTGGCTGATCTATCCAGCATTGGCTGGGCATGAAGCAAAAAACTGATTTGGGGGTCAATTTCAAGTGTCTAAAGCCTCTTGAGGGAGGTCTAATACAAACATCCAAAAGGGGTGAAAATGGCTTTGCAGAACTAAGGGAGATGCTCCAGATTAGCAGATAAGATGAGGAATGACAGGTATTAAAAGTGAATTGATACTAAGTCAATTCAAGTATTTGTCTCTATATGTATCACTGTTGGGAGCAATGGAAATAGCTTTCTTAAAATGAAGCATTCAAAGACTAAGTAGAAGTTGTATGTTCCATCTACCCCTATTTCCAGCCCTGCCCCAAAACAATAAGAATACCTGGAGAAGGTTGAATCACGAGACCTGATGTAGATGTTTGGCCTTTCACTTTGTGAACAAGTCAGACTTGTTATTAGTATGGAATGGGTCAAAAAGTAAAAAATAATTTTCTACATATTTCATAGAATTTGTTTCATTTTAAGTTATTGGTAAGGTTCATCGTTCATTGTACAGCATGTTAAAATAATTGTAAATTAATCCATTATGTACGTTAAAAATTCTGTGTAAAACAGTCACGCAAGTGAAAAATTAAAATACAGCTAGCCTAAATTAATAAATGCCTTTGGAGGAGGCACAAACAGAATATATTTTAAGAAATTGCATTTTTCTTTTTCCAGTTGTTACTTTTGTATAATTTACATACAAATGAAATTAATGTATATTTATCACTTGCTAGAATAAGAATTCCTGAAAGTATATGTAGAAGAATGGAAGTTTGATTGTATTTTAGTGATAAGTAGAAAAAAAATGTAAAGTTGAAGCAGCATGTACACATATGTATGAAAGGATGTAGAACCCTCTCACTCTTCATGAAGTCATACATTATTCTGTTCATATGACTGAGCATTTGTATCCATGCCATATGCTGTAGGTGTGTGTGCATGTGTAAGCATAGTCATGTCTTTTTCTGAGTCCATTTCTTTGCATTTGAGTGACATCCATGAGGTAATATGATATATACAACTGAGCAATTTGGCTCAAATGATTATGCTTCTAACTATCATTTGGAAGGTAACTGGTTTGAATCTTGGCCAGGACATTGGCTGTCCTGACTACAGTTTTCGTGGTCTTTCCAGGCAAATTCTGGAATAGTTTTCTCCAATTAGGCCATGGCCACCTCCTTCATTTTCCTTTCCCGTTCATTATTTGCTGATTGCCCTCCCATTCAGCTCTATAGTTTGAGCTACTGATGTTATTAAATAAACTGTTAAAAAATGGCATGTAGATGTAACAGCCTGTAATGTGATGGCATCAGAACTAGCAATTAATTCCACTCCTTATCCAATTTATATTACTGATGATGTCTTATTATTATTATTATTATTATTATTATTATTATTTGGAAGGGGTGGGTTTCCCCATGCACACTGCAACCATTCGTTGATCTATTGTGCGTCCTCCTTTAATTATTCTAACTAGTCGCCATGCCCTTCCAGTACTGGTGCTCGCTATCAGCCCCGTTCTGCCAGCGAGGTCGGCCCTCCCTGGCAGTGGTCCCCGATACTTCCCATCTACCGGAGGAATTGGAAACTACTTGGGTGGGAAACTTGCCTAATTTTGCTCAGAGGTCTCCTAGAGACATGAGTATCTTTTACATGCCATAAATCTACGACACGGGACACACGGCTTAAAGTCCCTCCAGGAGGACTTGTTCCCTGAATTTTTCAGCCGGGTTTGAACGCGTGTACCTTGAGTCATGAGGTGGGAATGTTACCCCTAGACTATGGAGGCCGCTTCTGATGATGTCTTACAGTTCACAATATAAAAACTGTAGCTATGAGAAACTTTTGGCATACACAAAATTTTGTTACAAAATTATGATACTGAACATCTTTGTGAATAATAAACCATTTAAGACTGCATAATTTCTCTTGACCTGCCAGACCAAAGCAATTGTAAACAGTTAAAATGACAATGTACATGTATGTTTGTATATTATTTGTCTCTCATGAAAATGGAGTTGCACCCCTTCAAGAGAATCTCACTGAGCTAATTTCATTATTCATGCCACATTTAAACTTTTTTTATTGCTAGTGGTGTGGGACTAAGTCCTTGTACTGTGGTCACTTCTGGCCTATTGTACCAGCCTCAGATGATAGGTGAGGGTGATTGTGGAGCAATTGGTGGAATGAAGATTGGCAGGGGAAACCAAAGTACTCACAGAAAACCTGCCCCAGCACCACTTTGTCCACCACACATCCCACTTGACCAGACCTGGGATTGAACCCGAGTCGCCGTGGTAGGAACATTTAAACGTAACACTGATTCCTATTGGTGATGGATTACAAAATAGGCAATATGTCATTCATCATATAACAAATCCACATTTAATCTGATCTATATCAGAGTTGTAGCCAAGCCAGGGTTGTGCCGTGGTTCCTACTGGATCGCAGTGTGCCACCCAGGCACTTTTATTAAAGGCAATGATGTGAAATATAAAGTTCTTACAGTTTGTCCTATTTGAGGTTATCACAACAATGATCATGAACAAGTGCTATCTTCTGGTCTGACACATTGTGATCCAGTAAAAGTTTATTGTTTAAGAGTAACATACTGCATCCATCTTCAGGGTCAAAGAATATGCCAAGTGTTACTGTGTTTGATGACACAAAGTTTTGATTATGTTAGAAAAATATAATGTTATTAGATGAATATTAACCCCTCAAACTGACAATTAAACCCCTACTAGCTGTAGTGGTATTTAAATGGCAGCAAACCTCACAGCCTAGCAAGGACATACGTGGAATACCAGCTTGAAATGTTAAAGGTGAATTTTCCCATGTGGCTAAACCCCATGGGATGAAAGCATATGAGGGAATAGACATAAATTGACACTAGATTCGAGCAAGTGGTTTCAACTTTCAACTTTATTTTTGTCCATAACTGAAGTGAATACAATTTGACATGTCAAGAAATAATAACGAATACATGACATGTGAAAGTCATATAAAATTTACACAGTGATTTATCACTATAATAATATAGCAACCATTATAAGGAACATAATAAAAAAATACAGGAGACCGAAAGAAAAATGTCAGTAACATAAAACATGTAAACGCAATATTAAAAGTTGCAAACCAAAAGACAATCATCAAGCTAGTCATCAATCTAACATTAGTTGAAAAATTCATGAAAATAGAAAGGGCTGCACAACAAATAATTTTTTAGTTTCCTCTTAAAAACATTAAAATTTTTAATGCTTTTCAATTCAAGGGGAAGGCAATTAAATATTTTACTTCCCATATTAATTACACCTTTTCTGCAACAGTCAGTATTACAAAACTGGACATATAATTTATGTTTATGTATGGTATTGTAGCTGTGAATGTCAAATACTGAGTTGTATATATCTTATTCTTTATTATAAAAAATAAAATCACAAATATATATAATGAGGTAACAGTTAAAATCTTAAATTCACCAAACATATTTTTACAGGATACCATATTATTAACACCTTTAATCACTTTTAGGCATTTCTTCTGTATTTTAAATACAGTTTCAGAGTCCTTACGCCCCCCACCCCAAAAAATACTACCATATTTCAATACAGATTCAAACTTAATAAAATAGACATTTCTTAATACAGGTTGGCTAACTGAGTCACGTAAGGATTTAATCAAATAAAGAGCCTTGTTGAGATTTTGGCATACTCGTTATTATATACTCTGGTTGCTTTATTCCTGCAGAATAGACTTCAGTAGCCAGTGGGTAGGAGGCTGTATTCAACCTAGAGGCAATGTGAATTTGACAATAGAATGTAAAATCCTTGCTCCATGTGAGACTGAAAATCTCATCCAACCCACATTCAGTCACTTGACTAACCTGCCTCTTTGTATATACATACAACCACTGTTTCTTTTTCAGAAAGCTTCCATTAATCACAAGTTATACAAAAGTAGAGATGTTCTTAAATGTTTCAACAAGAAGAAAATACTTCATAAAAAAGATCCCAAAGAAAAGCTAATCATTGTGGCTACTTCTTGACTTCACATTTTATTCATTTAAACTCTGCTTTTAACATCCTGTAAAAAAAGGTAAACTTGTCTCTGTGCCTAACTAATTCAGCACTAGGACATGAAGGCGTAGGGGGAGTGGATGTATAAATCCACTTCTTTTGACCTCGGCTCTACTTGGAGGTGAGTTGTCAGTTTCACACCCCAACTGCTTTATGCCTGGGGGAAGAGCCCTCAGTACCCATTTTATAAGAGGTTTTAACATCCTTTAATACTTTTTAAAAGAAATAATTTATTTTTATGAAAGAAATTGGTAGATTTTTTAAGACATGTGGTATATTATTATAGAAATTGCCCTGGGTTTTGTCATCGTACCCTTAACATGGTAAATGGGTGTGGAACGTGTGGAATAGTGTAGGGGCTACTGTTAATACTGTGTGTTGATAAAAATAATTTTAATACCATGTGCACTTGGGTTAAACGGGATGGTGGGCGGGGATCCGTGGTAGGAAGTCCGTGACAATGAAGTTTTACACAGACACACGCAATACATGGTTTGGCACACCGCGGGGCACAGAGTTCTGAAGAATTATTAAAATATAATTTGCATCCTCAATTCCGGCAGATGGTTTTTCTCGTGAATTCGTCGAAACTTTTATCTCATTATTCATGTGTACATACAGTACTGCTTTCACATATGACCCATGATTCAATAAAGAAATCAAAGCACAGAACTGCTACCATCTAGTGACAAAGGTGACTTGCAGAAACTTATTTAATTAGATTATAGCTGGCGAGACGAGACTTTACTTTTGGTCTGTAATTGAAGTTCTCTTGTTCTTAATGGTGACGACCGTGACCACCGTGACGTTCGCCCTCACCAGGAACATACCGACTGAGCTATCAATCAAGTTTAAAATGTATAAATATTGCATTACCTTTGATCAAAGTTCAAAATTCATTCTGTTTTTCTTCTTGTAGTTTAATGGCACTCAGCATACGAGAGCTGTGTGATGTTGAGTATAAATTATTTTATAAGTTGAATAATTTTGGTGTTTCTACAAAATTATTAGGAGCTGCATAAGAAATTCCCGAGAGATCGATCCATCGATCATCACTCTTATTGATATCCAAAATGGCAGTTGGTGCAGTGGTTAAAGGTGGCGATGAAGTTTTCATCAGTGATGATAGTGAATCAAGTGAGGTAGCCAGTGCTTGTTGTCATAATCAGCACAAAAAATTATTGAACTGCTACAATAAGAAATAAACACGGCCAATCATACTGTAAGTACAGACGCATGTTACTTTCAAAACTAAAAAAAAAAAAGGGGGGGGGGAACTGGGTTCTTGTGTTCATCAATCTCGGCTGGAACATCTGGCTAACCCGACATAGGCTTTTTCATGGTTTTTCACAGTACCACCAGACAAACGTTGATTGGACTTACAAGGGAATGGTCCGATCCGACATATCGAAACCTGCCCTGATTTCCCCCCCACTGCAAGAGTACACACAACAAAATCCACTGTCAAAATTTTAGCTGCTAATACGCACTGCAGGTATTTTTTAAAAATTGCCGAAGTTACTCATTTTTTGTGTACAAGGAACCGCTTGTACCAGAGGTTTGTACAGTGCGTACAATCAAGTGCGCGCCGCGGCTGCAATTTGCCGTGAGTCATACCACCGCAGAACGGATGCAGTCGCGGGGAGGAGTTGCGCGCACTTGATTGTACGCACTGTACAACCCCAGCTGTGTACTTGGTCAGATTACAATGCATTTGTACCATATTATCTGTCTACCGAAGCACCAGAAGCCTAGGCTGTGAGTCAGCCGTATTGCGTCTTGCATACTGCTCTGCTTTGCTAGGGGTGGACATTTCTCCAAGAGTCTGGCAGGCTATAATATTGGCCATGTTCAGCAATTTTTAAAAAATGCTTGCAGTGCGTATTAGCAGCTAAAATTTTGACAGGGGATTTTGTTGTATGTACTCTTGCAGTAAAAAAAAAAAATCAGGGCAGGTTTCGACATGTCGGATTGGACCATTCCCTTGTTAGTATCCCTAATCAGGTGACAAGCACCAAGACTTTTGAATACATTATTTACTAACCATCAACCAATTGATACTATATAGTTTCCACTACGAAGTGTGTTGTGAAAACATGAAAGGAAATGTGGTGCAGGAGCAGTTTTGAATGTTATTAATAATCAGACACAACTTTCAGCACCAGAAGAGATACTGCTCACCATCAAGATTGAGCCGGATGGCAGCGAACTGGAGCTACAGGTAGCCCTCAAGAAAGCACGGAGACTGAAGCTGCAGGAGGCTATTACAGAATCAAAGAACAGTGTAAAAAAGGTACATCACATCGGCAGATTTCCTTTTTAATCCTTCTCACAAATGTTTGGCTGTAGGGGGGTGGGTCATTTCTCTTGTTCAATCAAGGCCATTCTCCCCTTACCTGCCTCTCTGCTTTTCCTCCCTGAGACAAGAGAGGAGCAGCACTGTGGATAGGTGGTGGAAGGCGATGAAATTGTCCCTATCTACAGAATCTTGTGCCATGTTTAGTTCCTACAGGGTATCTCCATATGTTCCAGTTATAAAATGTTGCACAGAACTTTGTAGTAAAGTTCATTATGATGTTTCCTCCTTGGTTACTGTACAAAACCATTGTACCCTAGAGAAACTATATTGTAATTTAACCTGAGGGCTATTAAATTGTTTCTCTCACAGTTTGTTGTGTTGTGCCTCAAACCAGTAAATCATATCTTCACATTTAAGTAATATCATAATCCTTTCTTACTGTGCTACAAACTGAAAGGTCATGAGTTTGATTCCCAGTTAGGTAATTGGATTTTTAGATTGACTGAATCCTTCCAGTCACACTGTGACCCTGGGGCGAACTCAGGCTCTAACAGAAATGAGTACCAGGAATATTCTTGGAGGGGTTAAGGGCGTCCGGCGTGTTAGGCTGATAACCTCACTGCCATCTGTGTGCTTATTGTCGAGAAAGTATGGGAGTCTCTATGTCTCACACCCCTATGGGCCTCCACAGCCTGTTACAGGGAGAGCTCTACCTTTATTTATACTATCATCCTTTCTTGTATTTTGGTTATTGAGACCTGTTATGGCCTCTTGTCAAATAGGCACCAGGGGCTGTTTCCCTGGGTGTGGGAGTGGTACTCACCTCCATCTAGAGCATAACTAATTAAGCATAGGGACAGTTTTGCATTTATGGGTACTACAAAACAGAATTCTCTATAGCTACATAATTTAACTGTTTGTGATTTGTGATGTTTGTAGGTGGCAGAGTCAGTACTGGAGAGAAACTGAGAAGGAAACATGGAAGGTGGTTCTATTGTGCTGAATGCTACTGCAGAATTCTGCTATACGTTGGGTGACGTCCCCATTTATGGTCTCTCTGGCAACAGGGATGAGGACACTCAGGAACTACTTGTGAGTGCAATATAACCATCCGCAGATAAATGTACACTTAGCAAGGCACTTCGATGTAGCACGTGTCAAGACTAGATACAGTCCATTGCCCATGTACAGCTGTTTACTGCAGCTGCAACAGAATTAGAATATATTTTAATTACAGTTAAATTCCTTGATAATGGATATATAAATTACTGAACTGGAAATATCTAACAGAAATCTTAGAAATGAAAGGACTCATTATACAATAAGAATGTGATAGTTGAGATGGTAGAATCTTTTTCTTCTTCTTGGCAAGTGGTGCCACTCAGATTAAAATGCCATATAATGTGATAAGATCCATAAGCATTTTGAAGGAATGTCAGTGGACTTACAGGATGTTACTTCCCAGAAGATAGTGCCTTTCTTAATCTTCTCTACAAGAATCTGAAATCCAGTCTTTTTTTCCATCTTTTATTTCTTTTTTCTCCCTGTACCATGTGCATGATACAAGGATAGAAAATATGCTACTAGGAATTATATGTGAAATTGAAATAGGGATGAATAAATAGCTCAGAATATGACTAAATGAAAAACCAATAGTTCTTGTAATTTTATTCATTGCAAAGTGAATTGAATGTTAATTGTCACAGTATTCTCACTGCAAACTCAGAAGTAGTTTGGCAGGTGTACATTGCTTGGCAAAATGAGAGTGTGTTTCTAATGGATCTGTAACTTTAAAGCATACTAAGATATTAAAGAGACATTTTGGCAAAGAAGTTTCAAGATGGTCAGTATAGTCAGAAGAATTCTGTCTTCTGGGGTATCATCCGAATTTCTGGGGGAACATGTCATCTGAATCTTCAGGTTCAAAGAATAAATGAAACAAGAAGCCGGCATGAAGCAGATAGGAAGCTTGGCTTTGTTACCTGCCAGCGCTGGTTTCTTGCTTGATTTATTCTTCAACCATGAAGATGGAGGCGATGTGTTCTGCAAAAGTCTGTTGACTTTCGACAGACTACATGGCATTATATCCCAGATGACAGAACTCTTCAAAACCACTGCTGTCAGATGCTCAAATCCTACACAGTGTAGTCAGTACTTTACAGTGCAGTAATTTTTTATACAGTGATTGGTGGGTAATCAGTTTGGATTTCAGTCAATCTCAAGGTAATTTTGAATTGGTAATTTTTGGGCTGCGCATTTGTGTTCTGCTAATCTCATAAAAACTTTACATTACAGGACTTTGAGAGGGAAATGATTGAAGAGAAGAAACGTCAGGAAGAAGAAGGTAACCGTGGAGCTAGGAATGAATTTGAGATTGGTGAGTAATTAGCAGATTCTTTAAGTACAACATAGGCCTATTCAAATTAAGCGATATTGACACTTTAGTGTTGGTTTTAATTGTGCGTTTATATTTCAAGTATTTCATAAATGGTGTACCATATTTAATCATATACTGCAGTTTTGTTAAGGGTTTTTGTAGAAACACATTAATCATAACTGTTTAATATTAGTAGCAGTAGGACAGTTGGTTGAGGCACTGTGCTACAAGTTGGAAGGTCATGGGTTCAAGTCCTGACGAGGTCATTGTTTTTTTTTTCAGTTGACCTAATCCTTCCAGCTGCAGTATGGCCCTGGTGTCAGCCCAGCCTCTTAACAGAAATGAGCACCAGGAATTTTCGTGGGGACTAAAGCGCGGCTGGTGCGTAAGGCTGACAACCTCACCACCATCAATGAGCCGATTGTCTAGAAAATGTAGGAGCCTTAATGTCTGACAACCCTATGGACCTCCACGGTCTGCTACAGGGATAACTACTTTTTTTTTTACTGTATAATGTCTTGGTATGTAAATAATGTCACTCATGAAGAATGCTGTCTCCTGGGATGTGTCACTGTATAGATATTATGTAAACTGGTGTTTTGGTGGATCGTATCGCCTCCATCTTCAGGGTATAAAAATCCACAAGCGAGGAACTAGCATGAGCAGGTGCTGCAGACTAAGTCACCTAAGTTGTCCTGTAGCTGTCAAGTCTTCTCTGCAGCAGGCCTTAGGGAAGAGAGTTGTCATGGGGACAAGGATCGGCCACTTGCTTTGATTATGGAGTAGAGTAGGAGATTTTGAAGGGTAAAGATTATCTGAGCTTTGAATACTGTGTCATCTCCTCTATAACTGGATTGCAAGTCTCGTCTTGTCTCTCGGGATTGACCCACTTGAGTATTATGGAGGTGTTCACAATGGTCAAGACAGGACGAAGCAAGCAAGTAAGACTAATTAAGGAATTTAATGTTCAGCATTGCTTTATCTTTTTCAGAGATGATGAAAAGTTTGGACATCGCAAGCGCTACAGTGGTCTGACCTGAGACTTCAAAGAAAAGGAGGGCTACAAACCAAATGTTAAACTCGACTACACAGATGATGATGGAGATGTACTTAGTGCAAAGGAGGCTTTCAGGTTAACACAGATAATAGCATATCTGTTTTAAGATAGGTCACACTGTGGAGGGTAGCCTGTCCAATGGTAGTACATTCTTTAGAGCAGAGAGAGTAAGTGCCATTGTAACAAAAAATTCCAAGGAGGAAGCAGTTTTTCAGTGGAAACAGACAAGATTATATGACTACTGTGTTTATCATCCATGTGTGCCATCCTCACGATAATGTGTGAACCAACTGATGGATTTATGTGAAACTCTGTATTGTCATCATGCCACTCACATGTTCTTTTAGTTGTCTACCATCAGCCATATTTACATAGTGACTGAGTTGGGAGCAACACTACAGACTTAAAGTAGGTCCTTAAGAAAAAGGTCTTGGGGACCTGTTATGCCTATTCAGAAGGTCCTGAGTTCAATCAGCACTTGCATTTGTGTACAGATTCTTCTGCTCACAGATGATGCCTTCACATCTACCAGAGTAAAAGCTTTGGGAATACAAAGGATAACCCCCCCCCCATGTTAAATTGTAGGGTCCCTCTGCTGACCAGCACTATCAAGATTACCCTATCATGGGTGGTGAGGTTATTGCCTTCCACCTCAGATGCTTTCGGTAGAACATTTTGATATATAAATGTTGTTTTGACTTCCTTTTCTCCCATTCTGCATGTGACAGTTTGTAACTAGCCAACATATTGTAACATTTGAGTGTGTAAATACTTTGTACTTGATACAGTTTGTTGTGTAGGCATAGAATGTGGCAGAATGGTTCATTTTGCAGATAGATTGCATGAATTAGGAAGAAACATGCCTTGAAATTATTACTGTCCCATTGTACTTTTATTAAAATATTTTGTGTTAATCATTTCAATCCCTACGACTTTAATGTGCTGTAGCATGCCTATTTCTGGTTATTGGCTGTATGAGTAAGTTGTGTTTGAAAATGGAATGTTACATATTTGTATTCTTTCACAAAATAACAGGTTGAACTATATATGGATGATACCCTTTTCTCTGGCTGAAACTTCAGGATAGAAGGATTTTACATGTTACTTGGAAACATGGCCACATTCTGTAAGATCCTAAAATACAGTGACAGTGACAGTGTCTCTATTTCTAATTTCAGAATTTCTCATGAATTTCATGGAAAGGGACCCGACAAAAATAAAGTGGAGAAGTGAATGAAGAAAACTGAACAGGAAGGAGTGAGTATCAGTCCAGATCTGGTCATGAGCTCTTATTTCTAATACAAGCTGGAAGGTCATGGGTTCAAGTCCTGATGAAGTCATTGGATTTTTTCAGTTGACATAATCCTTCCAGCCACACTATGACCCTGGGGTCGACTCAGCCAGAAATGAGTACCAGGAATATTCTTGGGGGCAAAGGGCGGCCGGCGCATAGGGCTGTGAGCCGATTGTCTAGAAAATGTGGGAACCTCAACATCTCACGCCCCTATGGGCCTCCACGGCCTGTTACAGGGATACCTTAACTTTACTTTTAGTATATTGTAGCACCCTGCTGCACTTCATTTAGTACCAAGTTATTCCCAGTCTCATGTGCAGCATGTCCTTCTGTAAAACTTCCTAAAAGTTATTAACTACATGTTTCAACCTAAAAGGTCATTATCAGGTGTTTTAAAATTATAAATGAGGAAACTGCTGAATGGTGCCCCGTAAGGAAGCAAATTTTAGTTATTGTTACATGTCTACGATTCCACATAGCAGATAGATATCCATCCATACTTCTTGTGCATTCATTTTCTGCTGACTACAAACATACACAGTAGCTTCAATCTCAGGACAGAAGCGAATACTGCAACTTTGTGGCAAGTCAGATGGAGCCTCCTCGTAAAACACACAGCATATTTGTTCAGTTGTCATTAGGCTAGTAGACATAGACACAGACCATGGGTTGGAAATTGGGAGAAATTGATGACTTCAAGCAGCAGACTAACTTAAAGTTTGCCAGCTGTTAGGATAATCAGTGACAGGAGCTGCAGATATTACAGAATGTTTAAGGGCAAACAGACTGTGCCCCATCTGAAAATGATTAAATTGTTCCCCCCCCCCAGTCGATGAAACAGATGAGCTCAACAGACACCCACTCGGAATGCTTAGCCTTTTGCAGCAGAAGCAGAAAGAAATGCAGTCTCCATTTGTGGTCCTTGGTGGCAGTAAACAAACATGAGTATGCTTTTCGTCTGAATTCACTGAAAAAACAACCAGTTCTAATTAAAAAAATTGTATTCATTAACTGACAGACTTAGACATGAGATCACAAGATTACTAGAGGAAACCAGTGAACTAAATTCAAAATTTGTCTAATCTTGACATTGCAAGTAACAGTAATTCATAGCTTTAACTTAAAGGCTGAGTGGATGGGAAGCCATATAGTCATGTCAGTAATGTCACATGGTGATTATACTGCTGCAAAGTAAATATTTGTTTTCGTCTGAGCATGTCACTTGTCTTGTTGTAATTTGTAGACTGTACACTATGAAGTGTCATTTTAATGATGGATTGATTAATAAGACTTTCCTCCCTGGTACTGTGATGCTTTACTAAAAATTTCTGTTTTTGATGCAGAATATGAAATTTCATTTTCAAAAAGAAAACCACCGTGTGAGGTTTTTGTGAGATCTTCAAGTTTTACATGAGCATTACTACATTTTCTTTTATTTCTTTCTTTTTCAGGGCAACCATCTCAAAAATAAAACTGCAAATTCCTCATGTAATGCGCTGGCACCAACTCTGAACTTTGGCGTGGACTTATGTTTTATTGTTTCTTACTGTCTGGAATATCATCTCTCTTTTTAAATAAGACACAGCTTGCACCTGCCGACAGTGCCTATGTGTACTGGAAGGAGGGCCACACAGTTCATGTGACATTCAAATGAATACAGTGCTTCTCCTGCTGGCACCTGTAAGCTGAAAGATACAATTTCTAGTGATTAGTTGCTTGTTTATAGGACATGAGCCAGATGAACAGCCTCTAAGCTAAATCAGACATTAATCAGTAATTTTATTTGGCCTTTCTTGATTGAAATAGCAATATTGTATCCTTCCAAGGGAAGAAAGAAACCCTTGTTCATTGATAGGCCAGTATGAAAAACTGTAAAATTATACAAGCAACAGAATCAGAAGATATACAGTCTACTGCAAATCATTGTAAAGCACCAGTGATATATCACTGAAACATTTGTAATGGGTTATAAAAGTAACTTGGGTCATCCTGGTCTGTCACACTAGTAACTGTATATATAAGGTTTTTAACCACTGCCGAGTGTGATTGATAAAAGTTGTTTTTAGTTTTTCGTCCTTTACATGTTTCGGTCAAAATGACCATCTTCAGAAGGATATTATCAACACGGATGGAAACTGCTGTTACATGGCATACATATATATGTTATAGCTTTTAACTAATATTAAGGTGTACATTGATTTGTTAAAACATCTAAAAAATATTACAATTAGTCTGTTTACAAAATAATGTTCAGTGTTTGTTTTAAAGTAGAAGCAATTTGGTTTCTTGTCCTTACACTTTTGTAATAATTTTAGATGTTTTAACAAATCAATGATATAACATATATATCTATGACTTGTAACAGTAGTTTCCATATGTGTTGATAATATCCTTCTGAAGATGGTCGTTTTGACTGGAACATGTAAAGGATGAAAAATTAAAAACAACTTTTATCAATCCCACTGGATGGTGGTTACAAATCTTATATGCGGTTATAAAAGTCATGTGTTTAATCCACATGCAGATGATGAAGAGTCTTCTGTAGGTATACGAAAACTTGAAAGACACATAGACTTGGCCAATAATAATTTCAATTCATGAAACTATGTAAGACTGATCTTAAGGCATCTTCTTGGAGATGGTGATAATGATTTGAACCCAAAATGAATATATATGTCAATGCTGAACATTATCTGAAGTCTGAATTGTAATCCTGATGTGTACTAATCTTCACTTAAGAAGATACACAGACAGACTACAGGTGTTCTCAAATTTACATTTTTCTTGATATCAGTAATGTATAACTGTAAGTTGACAACCTCAGTCACATATATTCCAGCCACCTAATTATTTAAGACAGTTTCAGTATGTTTTAGTCTTTGTTAATAGAAATTAACTTGAAATCACATTATTACAAAAGTTGTTACATTTGTATATTTCTTCACGAAATAGGGATTATAATTTAAAACATGTACACCTACTCTGTTAGGTGCATGCAGATTATGTTGTTCAGTTAGTGTGGTTACATGCAAGGTTGGAATTATGTATGGAGTGTATCTAGTGATTGAGGCTAGCTCTTTCTGACGGACCCAACAGAATAGGTGTTTTTCCTTCACCTGAGGACGGAAACACATCCAGTTTCCGAAATGTCATGTTTTTATTAGTTATCTTAAAAACCACGACGATTGATAAAGTCCAAAAACCCAATATATCAGTGTGTTATACACCAATGTCAGAATCCTATAGTAACTAGTAGTATTTAAATGTATATCATCTTAGGAAAAATTATATAAAAATGCTTAAATTTCATGACATGTTTGTATGCACTCAGAGTTTCACTGTAAACGTGAGGTGACCACGTGCAGTTGGAACCCAGGCAGGGCCACTGAAGCGTCAGGCCAGTAGGTTTAAATGGTTGTAACGGTAGACTTACAATTTCTTATTAATTTGTACAGATTTCCTAACAGACTCACTACTGTGATGAAGAATTGTTCAAACAACGCTCTGAGAATTGATTTCATTATGTAATGTAATTCATCTGTACTGATCACAGTTCAGTTTAATCAGTACAGCACAATTACTGTATTGTTGTAGTGTGCCACTATTTCTTGTTCATAAATGGAAGTACAGTCATCTACAAGCACCAGTGTTACATGAGAGATTTGAGATATTCATGGCAGTGATCATGAGGAAGTTGGAAGTGACACTGTGTAGGTGGGTAGGAGTCTGCCAACATTTTGGAGGAATGTACTGCCACCTTTGTAAGGGTACATCCTGTCACATCCACAATATTATTGAGGACAAGTCTTCTGAAATGTAATGCTCTGTAATTTGTTTTAACCAACACTGCAGACAAATATACTTCCTCCATCTTCAGGATGGAAAATTGAAGCTGAAGGCATTGTGTTCGTCTGAAATGTCATTAAACTTCTACCAACCTACACAGTATTTTATCCCATGTCTTCGGCCAAATGAAACTGCTGTTTGTGGATGACCTGATTTCATATTGTGAATTCAAACATCTGTACGTACGTAACCTAAATGTCTGATATCTGGAGTCATCCTAAAGATGGAGGCACACATTCCACCTAAACGTTAGTATCCACCTATCAGACTGCAGTGTAGTGTGTTTCACCAGAACCCTGGTATCTGCTTGCCAGACTAGAACACAGTGTTATACCACACAACGTCCCCACCAAGGAACTTGATGATTATACAGCTTTCCAGTTTTGTCAGGAAAATTACATCAAGGACTTGTACCTGAGATGGGGGAACACAAATACTTTTAATTTCTGTGCATCCTGTTGTGTTGTTATATACAATTCTTTATTGGAGTCCATCGTAATGCAGCAACATAATGGTCATGGTTAAAATTACCTAGCTATATGTTTCGGCTACTTAAAGCCATCATCAGGCAAAGCACATGATTACTAATTGTGTCTGAATATAGTAATCATGTGTTTTGCCTGATGATGGCTTTAAATAGCCGAAACATATAGCTAGGTAATTTTAACTTTGACCATTATGTTGTGTTATGACGGACTCCAGTAAAGAATTGAACACACATACATACGATATTTTTGTTGGAACATGCTGGAAAGCATCCACTTGGCAAAGCAAAAGTGGTGGAAGGAAGATATCAAACCAGATCGTGACAAAACTGGGTGTAAGACTGTGGATCGTGATGTGTCCACTGGTGGGCTTTGGTATAAGCAACATTCATCCTGGAAGGGTATGCTGAAAAGTAATGCCTCCATAAGACAGTGGTGAAAATGTAGTTCTGTCCTGCCAGACTTACAGAAGTACAGGTACTCCTTGGTATATGCAAGTTGGAAACATGTTTATTCATTTTAATGCAGTCAATTAATTTAGACCTGTAACACTTGCTTTAGTATGAACTAATTGCTGGCCCATCAAGAGAGGTCAGAAGAAGGGGGGATTAGGATGCTGTTCAGGTGTGGAGGAGGAATGCAAGGGGAGAAGAGAAAGTTCGGCCTACCTGATATCATTTATGTCATTGCACCCCCTGTGACTCCTTTTGGGAATACAACTAATGCATTAATTGACGAATACCTGTACATGAAATATGTGGTTGTTTGAGGTAATTGTATAAAATAAGGAACAAAGTCCAAGGAAGGTAGCCATTTCTGTTTCAAAGAAATTGCTGTTATGGAAAAGAAATTGGGAGTCATTACTTGCAGCATGCCCTTGTACAGGCTCTGTCACCAGGAGAAGACAGATACACTTCCCAATGAAATATCCCACATTGTGAAATTGGAATCCATATTTAAATATTTGTTGCTCTCCAGTGGCGTCCTGCGTACAGAGGACACTTGCCATTGTATCACGTCACTGCCTGGAACACAGAATTCCTATGGCAGCCATAACTTGTCTCTTAACAGTAATATTATATTAAAAGTGCCAGTTTTTATAACAATTCAGAAAAAAATCCTGTAAGCTCTCAATTCATATATGGATAGTCACATTTTCAATTTCCTGTGGCATGTAACAGATACTGTGTACACCTGAAATAAAATTACTCTGCTTTACCTTTTTAACTACAGTGTAAACCTCACGTTAAACACAAGATCTGAAGCTTCCATGGCAGCTACAGTGGATGAAATCTGCTCTGGCTTTCAGCCATGTCAGTTGGTTAAGTATCACCGATGTCGCACGGACCATCTCTCCCTATCATCAGACATGGCTNGCACATTTTGTGCATACAGCAAGAAATGTAAACAAACACGGTTACTTGGAAAACCCGGAAGGTTTTTCTGAAAACCTGATTGGTTTTTGTGAAAACCCGGAGGTTATTTGGAAAACCCGAAGCAGGGCAGTACTTTTGCAGATTTTGTGCATACAGCAAGAAATGTAAACAAACCGGGGAACTTTTTGTTAACACCCCGGAACTTTATGTTAGCACCAGGGACTTTCCGTTGCACCGCGGCAAAATGTAAACAAAAACCCGGTACTTTCCGATGCACCGCGGCAGGAACACGAACATGCGGCAGTTACACGACCATGAGTAATGAGTAGCCAATCAGCATTAATGGGCGGGGCCATTTAAATGCTTACTGCACAATCTACCGGCACAGTAAACGAAACCACGCCTCCAGGGGGGAAAAAGGAGTTATCATCGGCCCCCCCCCCTCCATCACGTGACTGACTGTGTAGCCAATCAACATTAAAGGGCGGGGGCATGTAAGTCCACATGAATTTCGTGCCTACTGCAATACTTATAGGTACAGCAGGAAATTTAAACAAAACCCGCAATTTTTTTATGTAATAACCTTCAAGGACATTCAAGAACACAAGACATGTTGCAGCTCTGGGCATCTGGCTGCAAATGGTGCCATATTTCCGAAAAATGAGTTACAGTAGACAATAAGCATCAATGGTCAGGGGCCAAGTCCATTTACAAATACATGAATGTAGTGCTAAATGCAAATATTTTGAAGATACAAGAAATGTATATATATAACCCTGATTGTTTTGATCTTATAACCTCCAAAACCTTCAAGAGCACATTTCAAGTCAAAGCTGTGAACGTTCTGATGAAGATTAACATCACTGCCACAGTTGAACATTTAAACATTTATCTCCTAGATAGGGTATGAGGATGAACTTCCTTTCTTCAATTGGCCATTTTTGCAAGCCAGTTGGTCAGTTCTTATCCACTTGGTTCATCTCCTTTACACTGAAGGCAAGCTTCAGACCCCATATGAAGTAGAGTATGAAAGCTCATGATGCTCAGATTGAACCTGGAGGGGGGTGCTGCACAAGGAAATGGTGCTTTACCCCTGGGATTAAAGTCACAGGAGACATACAGAATAAATGATTTCCCCAGAACAGGCATTTCAGCATAAATTAAAAGAGTTTACTGAATGTGGGTTGACCACTTGGCTTGCACAGATGGTGAATCAAGGAAAAAGAGTTTATCCTCATACCCTGTCTAATACATAAACATTCATCTGCAACACTGCTCAGTAATCCTGTAGCTATAAATGTACTCTTGAAGGTATTTTGGAGGTTACAAGTTTAGACAGTTCAGGGGTTTTTTACATTTCTTGCAATTAGCACTAGATTAATGTATATTAACTTGGCTCTGACTGTTGATGCTGATTGGCCACTGCATCCCCTTCTTCGGAAATACAGCTACATCTGTAGCCAAACTATCAAATCCCAGGCTGAAAGCTTGGGGCTGCGGCAGTGCTGTGCTCTTGAAGGTTGTTGAAGGTTACTGGAACAAAAAGTACAAGGTTTTGTTTGCATTTCCTACTGTACCTCCAACTTATGCATTAAGTATTATTTCATGTATATTAACTTGGCTCCACCCCATCATGATTTGTCACTTCATTCTATTCCCATTCCA